ATGGATATTATTGCGTTTCAGGTTGTCCTGCATTTCCCTAAATGCCTCTTCATTCTTTTTGAGCCGTTTTTCCATTTCTTGTTCTTTCTGGCAGCTTCTTTCTACCTTGTCCTCCATCTCACTGATTCGGTCCTCAGCTTCATCCAGCCTGCTTTGGATTCCTTCGACTGTGTTCTTCAATTCAGAAATGGTATTCTTCATATCCTCTTGTGTCTTCTTTATAGTTTCTATGTCCTTTTCCAGGCTGATATAGTTTGCTGTAAGATCCTGATAGTTTCTGTGCAGTTTCTCTTAGTTCTCTTTGAGCTGGCTGTGGTCATTGAGCTTCCTTAGAACCATTGTTTTGAATTCCGTATCTGATAGTTCCCTTGCCTCTATTTCATTTATCTCTCTGTGTGGGGAGTCCCCTTTTCTACTCATTTGGGAGAAATTTCTTTTTCTTCCCATTTTTGTGAGAGTCTGTTAAGTATTTTTGTCCTTTACTTTTCTTTCTGGGCCTGCCTCTGATGATGTCAGTTGTTAACCCTATATGACTTTAGGTTGTTTGTTTAAGCCTTCCAGGAGTCTACTGTCTTTTTCTGACTCCTGCTTGGGGCAGCTCTGTGACCCCTTGGGTCAGGGCTGGACTATTTTTTGTGATCCCTCTGCACTCTCATGCCAGCTCCTTGAGTGTGCTCCCAGCGGGGCAGGATCCCCCGCCTGCCTGGGTTCGCATGTGCTTGCTCCAGACGAGAGGACTTATTCGCAACCTCACGTACTCATCTGGCCCCCCTGGACGGTGAGTTCCTCGATACTGGTCAGTTTAGGGTCTTCTATTGTGTTTTTTCCCCGCTTTTGGCTCTTTGGGTGTGTTGCTTGCCCCTGCTAAATGGTTACTATGGAAATGGAAGGAAGTCAGCTCCAGGACTCTCCGGTTAATCCTGTCTCCGGTCTGTCCTCCAGGGACTCTGGGCAGCTCTGTGACCCCTTCGGCCCAGGATCTACTAATTTTGTGGGGCCCTCCGCAATCACGGGCGGGCGGGTCAATTTACACCTACCCTTGCCACTCTGTGCACTCCCTAGCAGGCCATATCGGTGCCAATCTGAGAGAGGCCTTGTCAGCCGGTAGAAGTGTTCGCCAGCCCGCGCGGGTCACACACATGCTTCCCAACCCTCGCCAGTCACTCGGCGCAAGTGTGCGTGTCTGTACTGGGTGTTTTTGCCGTGTGATTTTCGGTTTTTGGCTCTTTGAGGGTGTGGCCTCTTCCCTCACAATGGAAACTACGGCAAGGAGAAGCAGTCGGGACTCCCTGGTACCTCCTCCCATTCTTTCCCCAACTCCTCCGTTTCCAGTCTATCTTCAGGGGTCTCCGGGCAGTTCTGTGACACCTTCTGCCAGGGATCCACCACCTGTGTGGACTGTGTTTCAATCTCGGGCAGTCTGGTTCGTGTGTGTGCCGCTTCTGCTTCTCTGGGGGTGCGCCTTGCCTTCCCAAATGGATACTATGGAACGGGGAGGGAGTTGGGACTCCCCGGTTCCTCCTCCCGTTCTTTCCCCAAAGCCTGTGTCTCCAGTCTCTCCTCAAGGCTCTCCCAGCCAGTCTGCACTTAGCCCCCCAGCTCACACATGCACAAGCTGTGTGCAGAGTGCCCAAAAGACAGGTTAATTGATTCCCTTATGCCTGAGCAAGATGGTAGCTTCATTGTGGGAAGTGCGTTATCACTAGGGCTCCACCGGCAGCTGTCTCAGTTCTCTTCACAGAGTTTTTCTCACCAGTCTTTTCTCAGGCACCAGCCCACCCTGCTGCTGCCTCTACCCAGAGATCAAGGAGGGTGTCTGCCACTGCAATTTTTGCGTTGGCCCTTTAATTGTCTCTTTGCATCCCCAGCCACCTGTCTCTGGCAGAGAGTGCCCCTAAGTTTTTCGGGGTTGTGTTTTGTCTGTATGTTCTTAGTTTTAGCTGCTGTAGTTTAGAGGTCCCTGTTTATGATTCAGACCCCGTTCTTCTCTGGGGGAGATAACTGGCCGTTTCAATGTCCCTCTGGTGCCAGTGCCCATGGGCACCCAGCCCACCCTCTCGAGCCTCCACCGCAGTTCTCAGCCATTGGGATGTGTGAGAGTCAAATCCACTGTCCGTGTCTCCAAGGCTCCTCTCCCACTATCGTTACATTGTTTTCCAGGTGATTACTCCACTATTTAGTCGCAATTCCTGTTTGGTCTTGGGTGGAGCTCAGCGTCACTCCCATTCAGTCCTCCGCCATCTTCTCTTCTCCTCAAAGTTTTTCTGTTAAGAAATCAGCTGATAGCATTATGGAGCTTCCTTGCATGTTATTAGCTATTTCTCCTTTTCTGCCTTTAAGATTCTCTGTACTTTAATTCCACCATTTTTACTTATGATATGTCTTAGAGTGGCCCTTTTTGTGTTCATCTTAATTGGTACCCTCTGAGCTTCCTGAACTTGCATGACATTTTCCCTTACCAAGTTTGGGAAGTTTATTGTCATTTTTTTCAAACAAGTTTTCTATCCCTTTTTCCTTTCTTCTTCTGGTATTCCTGTGATGTGAATGTTGTTATGTTTCATGTTGTCCTGAAGCTCCCTTAAACCATCCTCATTCTTTTTTAGTCTTTTTTTTTTATTTTGTTGCTCTGCCTGGGTGTTTATTTCTACCTTGTTATCCTGCTTACTGAGTCAATCCTCTGCTTCATCTAGTATGCTTTTAATTCCTTGTAGTGTATTCTTTGTTTCAGATATTATATTCTTTATTTTCTCCTAGTTCTTACTCAGAGTTTCTTTTTTCATATGGATTTACTTCCCACTAAGTTCTTTGTAGCTTCCATAATGTTTCTTGTATTCTCAGTGAGTCCCTTGAGCTTCCTTATACCATTACTTTGAACTTTGTATCTAATATATTGTTTGCCTCAATTTCATATAGCAGTCTTTCTGGGGATTCCTTCTTTCCTTTTGATTGTGGGTTGTTTCTTTGTCTTCCCATGGTAGCTGACTCATTTTGTTTACTTCTGTGTATTAGATTTATCTGTTTTTATTCCCTGCATTCATGGATGGCAGTTCTGTGGGACTCAGTGGTGCCGTGTCCTTGATCTCCTGATTTAGATGCTCTTAAGAATGCTCCTTAGTCAGTTCATGTGTGCTGTATTGTTGTAATTGTATTCTGGTTGTTGTTGGCTTGTTCATTGGTGGGTTTTCACCTTTGGTTGGCTAAATGAGAGTCATAACCATCAAGATGTCTTTTATGCTATTGTACTGGTGCTGCAGAACAAGACAAAAAAATCATCAAACAAAACCCATACTAGCAAATAAATTCCTCAACCATAACAGCAATATAAACAAGTGAGTAAAGATTAATAAATGCTGAAAGAGAATAAGAATATTATAATAATGGAAAATAATATGTGATGACTAACAGAATGATTAATGATTTTGAGAGGGCTTACGGAGGAGAAATAATAAGAGTAGGGGATAGAAACAAGGCAAGTAAAGTGAGAAGATAAAATTTACAATGTAAATAAAAAACAGAGGGAATAGGATAAAATTGAGCAAGAAAAAAGAAGAGTGTAATATGAGGTTTAAAATTTTAAAAAGAAAAAAATGAAAGTGAAAAAAATCGGAACCAAGTTGAAGCAAATCAACCATTACAAATATCCACTACCAATGAGCAAAGATTAATAAATTTGGAAAAAGAATAAGCATATTGTAAGAAATAAAAGAAAAAAAAGATTATGAGATGTCCAAAGGAAAGAAAGTGTTTTAGAGAAGGTAGAGGGAGGAAAAATAATAAACATAAGGTTTAGAAATCAAGCTAAGAACGGGACAAAATAAAATTGAAAATGAAAATAAGAAAGGGTAAGAAGAAAGTGAAATGGCATAGGACAGGGTGACAGTGAAATATGAGATTTGAAATAAAAAATAGTGAACATTTAGGGATGAAATTGAAGAAATGAAACAATAACTATAATATGAACAACAAATGAGCAAAAATTAATAAAGATGGAAGGAAAATAAAGATAGTATAAGAAAGGGAAAGATTGTGAAATGTCTAATGAAAAGAAAAATGGTTTTGAGAGGATGGAGGGAGGAGAAACAGTAAGAATGAGGAATATAAACAAGGTGTAGAGAGTGAAAAATATAAATAAAATAAAATTTAAAACAATAACAAGAAAGTGAAGGAAGAAGACAAAGTAGAGTAAGAGAAGGGAAGAGTAAAATATGAATAAAATATAAAATGAAATACAACTAAAATTAAATAAATAATGAAATAACAAGAACAACACTAAAGAAAAAGAAAAATATTAAATAGTTATGCAGTAGAAAAAATAATGCAAATAATGAAACAAAACGAGGTGCAATTCCTCTCAGCAGAGTATTATATGCCTATTGTCTTCACCTTATAGATCTGTTTCCAATAATGTCAAATGGTGTCCCAGTCTAGCTTTAGGCAACCTGTTTGAGTCTACAAGTGATCCACAGTCTATGGCTCCCTCCTTCAGGCTTGGCTGGTCCCCACTCTTCTGCCTTACTGACTTTTTATCAGCTCAAGGCCCAAGGGTGGTTCATCTAACATATGACAAGACTGCATGTACCACCTCCACCTGCCTCTAGAGGGGGCTTCTCTGTAATCAGGAGGGTGGGAGCCCTGGTTCCCTAATTTCAGGAAAGATGATGTTCTCCCACCCCTGCATCACACATCTTGGTCTGTCCCAGATTGCTTCCAATAACATAGAATTTCATCTGAAGGGCCAATCTGTGTAGCAGGGTCAGCTCTTTCTTGCTTGGCATTGATGGCAGCTCTGTGTGAGAGCCAAGGCTGAGCAGGGCCCTGAATACCCCTTGCTGTGACAATTTCTAATCTCTCTGCTCTGTTGGTTCCAGTGGAATAGGGCTTGAGGAAGAACCAGTGTAGCTTGTTGTGTCTGATAAAAGTTCATAAAGGGCTCTTTTGGAGATTCTCTTTCTTTCGCTGTGGATATATACCTGGCAGGAGGTTCTTGAGCCTGGCCTTACAGGCTTGTGGAGTTTGCCATCCTGCAGGTAGGAATTGGGCATGCCTTTCTCTTCCCAGAGCTTTTTACTCCGTAGTGTGAAGGCACCTGAGTGGTTGTAAAGAATATCAGGCACTCAGCTCTTGCCTATCTAGTGCCCAACACACTGCTCTCTCAGTAGGCTCAGACCTGAACTCTGTTCTGCATGCAGCCCCTGCTGCTGGCCAGCTTCCCTGGGTGCAGCTTTCTAATCTTTCTGCCAGCTGGATTCTGTGAATACAAACTGCTTTCAATCTGGTTTCTTTGCTGGCAGGGCAGCTGCATATATGCATGGGGTCCCTGCCCAGCCACGCTTCTGCTCCTCTTTTAAAAAGTGTCTATGTGGCACCCACACTGCAGTGTCGAGTCACTGCCTGGTTCTCGACGAACTCCATCTCCCCAAAAGGCAAAAAGTCTTTCTTGGTCAGGGTTGGCTACAGTCTGCTGGTGCCTCTGACACTTCTAGGAGATAGAATTTCTCTCTGGAACTCTCCCAGTTGGTGCTGCAGCAATGGACATGCTGTTTGCTGTGTATGTGTGCAGCCCGAGACTCCCAGACCTTGTATATTCTCCTGTCTATCATGATTAGGGTTGGGGTTCCCTGTGTGAGACTGAGGCTCCCTGCTCTGGGAGAGGAGGGAGCTACTAGGCTGCATTTTCTGTCCAGTCTCTCCTCTGCTGCAAGCATCTTGTACAGGGTATTTTCCTTTCACCTTACAAAATCTCTTATCAGAGGGTACAAAGCATCCTCTGTACTTCTTGGCTTCAAAAGTTCATATTAACTGAGATTCATTGGATGTTCAGGTCACTTGGAAGATCAGCTGAAAATCCTTGCTGGGGGCATGAGCAAGTGGGCTCAGCTTCCACCTACTCAGCTGCCATCTTCCTATCAATAAGTGATATTTTAAATCTTTCTAATCAATCTCTGTGTCCTCAGATTTGAAGATTAGGACTTTTGACATCTTAATGATTTATTGACTTCAAGTCCATACTTACAGCATTTTAGTTTGAGCTCTTTACAACTACATGCATCAGTGGAAGGAAACATATAATAGACAGGAATCAATAGACAGTCACTGAAGAAATGCGAACTGAAATGGTAATTCATCCATGTGGTCTTGATAGGCATCACAATTTTGTGTTGTTGCTATGCTTGTTTGGTTTGGATGGTTTATGAAAGTAGAGTGGGAGAATATTTACACACACCTAGCCAAAAAGACCAATCAAGACACGTGGAAATGAATATAATAGCAAGGGGTAGAAGGAGTGAGGTTTTGCATTGAGATCTATCATGTTCTAGCCCACTGTTTTGTGAGTTTTATATATATATATATATATATATATATATATATATATATATATATATATATGGCATGTAATCATCAGAACAAGTATGTGATGTAGAAATTATGACAGTTTTAAAAATAGAAAATTGGCTCAGAGAGATGGAAAAACTTGGCCAAGTTCACCCAGCCTTATTAGCAAAGGGAAAAACCAGCATTTGAACCTAGGTTTAGCTGGTTTCAAAGTCCATACTTTCCAGAGATTGCTAAGAGTGGTGCTGCGTATTACATCTGGTTATTTCAGGATATACAGACAGTTTAAAACAATTTATTCATGTGTTCAATAAATATTTATTATATCTATACTATATGTAGCACAATATTCTATATACTGTGATACAGTGGTGAACAAGTCAGATGAAATCCCTGCTCATACGTCCTAGTAGATTGCTTCCTAGTGAGGGCAACAGACAATCAATAAGTATACAAGTAACAAAATGTAATTTCTTGTAGCCATAAGTGTTGTGAAGGAAATAAAATAGGGAGGAATTTATTGGGGGTGATCATACGTGGTTTCTCTGAGGAAGTGACATTAAAGCTGAGTTGAGAATGACTGAGGAGGTGGCCTGCCAAGATCAGGAGAAAAAGGGCACTTCAGAATAAGAGGGTAGTCAGTGCAACTGGTAACTGGGGAGAGAGAAAGAGAGGGTAGAAGGAAAGGAGGGAGAGAGAGAGAAAGAGAGAGAGAGAGAGAAACTGTAGATCCCTGTAGGTAATAATGAAGTGTTTGGCTTTTTTTTTTCTAAGGATGATGATGATGAGCCAGTATTGCCCTCAAATAATTTGCCCACCCAGGTGTTAATGAAAAGACTATGAGAATAAATTTGATAACTTAGGGTCCCAAATATAAATCTGAGGTACTTATGTGATAGAGAGAGTTTAAATAATGAATATCTTAAATGACAAATGTGCACGCCACAGGTTCCAGTTCAGCAGTCGCCACCTTATCTGGGTCTGTGTGTTTTTGTGTATAAATGTGTAGAGTGTGGAGGTAGGGGTGGTCTGCATGACTGCAAGATCTGGAAGGTCAAGGAGGTGTTTAGGACTACCCACAAACCACAGCAGTCCTCAGGGCATCTTCTCTCCTTGCTTAAGCATAAAGAACCTTAAGCAATTTTCCTTGGTGCTTGATGCCATTTCCTGGTCTATCTGCCAGTTTCCACTGAAAAGGAAAGGAAGATGTTTGCATGGCTTTGAATCTTTCATTGGTAATTCAAGTGAATGCACAAGATATATTTACATGATGCTGGAAGCATTTACATGATGCTCAAATTACATAGCTTGTGGAAATTATTTAAGTGAAGACTGAGAGGGCTGATTCAATTTCCTAATTCAAGTAAAGATTATGTGACTGTATGGCATGAAAATAACTTGCTCACTGATGGAAGATTTTATCTTTCCATAGAAAAAGGAAGGAAATAAGGGGGTAGTGCCTAGAGGAGACCATAATGAGGTGTCTGATATGGCAGTTATTGATCTGGGTGCTGGTTACATGGATTTGTTCAGTTTGTGAAAATTCAATTAGTTGTACACTTATAGTATGAGCATTTTTATGTACATGTTATTCTTCAATAAAATTATATAAAATATAAAGTAAATAAAATGTAGCCCTGGAAACATTTAAATATAATTAAGCCAAGGTAGTTAATAAGCACTGGAGCAGGAGTTTGGAGACTTAGATTCAGTGTGAGGTTTTCCACTGACTCACATGGATGAGCAATAGTAATGCAGAGGTTCGAAGTTGCCCAATAAATGACATCCTTTCTTTTCTTCCTCCAGTTTTTAACTGATTGAGAGAGACAAGGAAGCAGGTTGAGATCAAAAGAGCTTTATTTCCAATAACTGTGCTAGAGAAAATGGCTTAGGTGTGTTCACCAAGTGGGCTTTTAATTCTGAATCTCAGAATTAGGCAGAGATACCTAACTGAAAACTGTGCAGGGCACAGTGATGTCTTATTTATTTCTGTTTCCCTAGGACCTGGAACAGTTTTGGGTGCAAAAGAGATGTTCAATTACTGTTGAATGAGTGAATAAATAAAATTTTTGAAGTAGAAAGTATAAGAATTTTGCAGTCAGAAGACTTGGATTTGTATACTGATACTGACTAACTGTGTGATCCTATTAAAGTTATATATTTTTGAGCCTCAATTTCCCCTTTGTACAGTGAGAATAAAATGTATTTTATTTTTTAAAGTTTTTTTTTAAATTTTTGATGTAAACTTTATTATATTTCTTTTCATTACCATTTAGTCTCTTTATAACCCCCTCCCCTCAGCAATCACCACACTGTTGTCCATGTCCATGAGTCCTTTTTCCTTTTTGCTTAATCCCTCCACTCCCTCAGATCCCCACCACCAGCTGTCATCCTGTTCTCCATCTATGAGTCAGTCTCCATTTTTTTTGTTAGTTCAGCTTAATTAGGTTCCTCATATGGGTGAAATAATATGGTATTTGTCTTTCTCTGATTTGGCTTATTTCACTTGGCATAATGTTCTGCAAGTCCATCCATACTGTCCAAAAGTGTAAAATTTTATTTTGGGGGGCTGAGTAGTATTCTAGTGTGTAAATGTCTCATAGTAGTTTCATCCATTCTTCTACTGATGGACACTTTGGCTGCTTCCATATCAGGGCAATTGTAAATAATGCCGCAATAAACATAGGGGTGTTTATGTTCTTTTGAATTAGTGTTTTGGGTTCCTTTGGATATATTCCAAGGAGTAGAATTGCTGGGTCAAAAGGCAGATCCATTCTAATTTTTTTGAGGAATCTCCATACTGCTTAACACAGTGGCTGCAACAATCTGCATATCCACCAAGAGTACATGAGGGATTCCCTTTCTCCACATCATCCCTAACACTTGTTTATTGATTTATTGATGATAGCCATTCTGATTAGTGTGATATGATATCTAATTATGGTTTTAATTTGCATTTCTCTGATTATATAAATTATATAAAATATAAAGTAAATAAAATAAAATGGAATTAGTGACTTTGAGCATCCTTTCATATGTCTACTGGCAATCTGCATGTCCTTGGAGAAGTGTCTATTCAGGTCCTTTGCCTATTTTTTAATTGGATTGTTTTATTTCTAGTGTTGAGTTTTGTAAATTCTTTATAAATTTTGAATATTAACTCCTTATCAGATGTATTGGTGAATATGTTCTCCCATTCTGTGGGTTGTCTTTTTACTTTGTTGATGATTTCCTTTGCTGTGCAAAAACTTTTCAGTTTGACGTAGTTCCATTTGTTTATTTTTTTCTTTTGTTTCCCTTGCCTGGGGAGATATAACTGATAAAATATTGCTATGAGCTATGTCTGAGATTTTGCTGCCTATATTTTTTCAAGGATTTTTATGGTTTCTGGTCTAACATTTAAGTCTCTGATCCATTTTGAATTTATTTTTATGTGTGGTGTAAGAAGGTGGTCTAGTTTCATTTTTCTGCATGTATCTGTCCAAATTTTCCAACACAACATATTGAATAAAATATTTTTAGTTTATTGTATGTGTTTGCTTCCTCTGTTGAATTTTAATTGACTATAAAGTTGTAGGTTTATTTCTGGGCTCTTTATTGCGTTCCATTTATTTATGTGTCTGTTTTTATGCCAGTACCATGCTGTTTTGATTACTATGGCCTTGTAGTATAGTGTGATATCAAATAGCATCATTCTTCCAACTTTGTTCTCCTTTCTCAGAATCACTGTTGCTATGCCAGGCTTTTTGTTGTTCCATTAAATTTTTGAAATAGTTGTTCTAGTTCTGTGAAATATGTCATTGGAATCTCGATAGGAATTTTGTTGAACCTACAAATTGACTTGGATGGTATGGACATTTTAATGATGCTAATTCTTCCTATCCATAAACATGGTATGTGCTTCTACTTATTTGTGTCTTCCTCAATTTCTCTCTTCAGTTTCTTATAATTTTCTGAGTATAGGTACTTTACATCTTTGTTGAGGTTTATTCCCAGGTATTTTATTCTTTTAGTAGCAATTGTGAATGGGGATTGTTTTTATTAATTTCCTTTTCTGTTAGTTTGTTAGTGGCGTATAA